GTAAGGGGGGGGGGGGTGGGGTGTGGGGGGGGTGGAGATGGGTGTGGGGTGTGGGGGGGGTGAGGTAGTTTGTCTCTGGCTCGGGCGCTGGCTCCCACTCAGCGTGCCGACAGCCTCTGTGTGTGGGTGCTCGCCAGTCGTGCCTGCGTTGCCAGGCGGAGGTGGGGGGTGGGGGGTGGGGTGGCGGGGGGTGTAGCTGAAATTTTTTTCTTTCGGTGAGCGGTTTTTCGGTCCTTGCCCGCGCGCGCGCTACATTCATTCATTTTCGCCGTGTTGGCGCGGCGAGGACTCGGTTTGGCGCCAAGGGGCCGACGCGGGCGCGCGGGGCAACACGCCACGCAGCGGACCACGAGCTGGAGGAGGACGACCTCGTAGCAGGCAAGAGATCAGGATAGGCCAAGGCCAAGACGTACAACCGCTCCCACCCGCCCACCCCCACCCCCCCACAAACCCCATACATATACCATGGCTGAGGACCGCCTCGCTCGGCTGGAGCACCTGTTTGCTCACAAGTGGCTCTCCGACGGCGAGTACGCCCTGCTTCGCGCCGCCATGACCAAGTCGCCGCCTGAGGAGCGGCCCGAGGCCACCATGAGCGAGCGGTACGGAGTGGCTGCTGCAGAGCTGGAGAACGTCTCGTTTGCCCTCAATGACGCCGCAAAGTCCAAGCTCGCCAAGCCAAAGAAGAGCCACCGCGGCCCGCAGCGCTGCTCGCTCTGCCACAAGCTCCGCAAGCAGCACAAGTGCACCGGCGTTCCCTGTCCGGATGCATCCGTCTGCGGCGTCACGCGCCTGCACAGCTCGGGCTGCGAGACTGCCGCCGCTCCGGCCGCGCGCTCCAGCCGCCCGTCCAAGCGCTCGACATCGGCGTCGGCGTCGTCGTCGGCGTCAGCGTCGGCGTCAGCGTCGGTCTCCAAGCCGCCCCCAGCCACGGCAATGGCGTTCAAGGCCCTGCCGGCCACAGAAGCTCTGCCGTCCGTCAATCCGCTTCCACCTGTGAAGGCTCTGCCGTCGCCCAGGGACCTACCGCCGACGCCGGCCGCGCAGCCGGACATTGTGTTCCAGCTGGCGGCGTATGGCATCGACCTCGACGACACCACCGCCGCCCTCGAGCTCCCCTCCCCACAGCTGGCCGCCAAGTCGGCTTTCTGCTCCTTCCCCGCGCTCTCATCGCTCTCGAGCGACCTCCTCGATCTTGAGCCCAAGAGCGTGTCCATTGCAGCGCCGGCACCGGCCGCGCGCGCTCTCAAGCCCGACCTCGACCTCTCCGAGCGCATGTCGGCCATCGAGGCGACAGTCACTCAGTTTGCTTCGCAAATCGTCGTCCCCTGCCCGGTCGTCCATGCTGGCAACCACGCCGTCGCCACCTCGGCCCTTGCCGTCGACAACTCGCTCTTTGTCGCCCTCGACTCGGGTGAGGTCGTCTCCATCTTTGTCGTCAACTTTGTGCCGGGCCCGGCCGCTGACGCCAACGCCAAGGTTGTCCACACCTACAGGAACTGGGTCTTTGACCTGCGCCGCGCCGTCTAGCGCATGCTTGCGTTGTCTGCCCCATAAATGCCCCCCTCCCCTAACCATCACCTGCTTGCCAGCCACCACCTCCTCGTCCTCGCCTGTACCGTCCTCCCCTGCCTGTTGGCCCGCTCTGACCTGCTCAATCTGCGCCATGATCTTTCCTCTACACCTTGACGCAACCTCCGCATCCCTGTCCTCATCATCGCGCATGTACTCAGACGCTCGACAACATGCCTTTTGTTGACGTTTTGGGCCGTTCGCCATTGACCAGCCAGCCAACAGGGCGAACGAGCAGTTTGAAAAGTGGATGACGGAACGACAGTCGAAAAGCCCATCGGTGACGACGTCGTGGAACGGGTCATTCCCCTCTTGTTTTCCGACCACAACCATGTCCAGTACGTGAAGCCATGCCTTCCTCACCAACACTAGCATTACCTCTGTCCCTTTCACTTCCTGCATCTCCTCCTACCCCCCCCCCCCCCCCCTCCCTCCCCCTACGCTTCCCTATCTCTCCCTCCCCTCGACTGGATCGTCCCTTCCGTTTCGCTGAAAAACGTGCCCCGACCGCACCTTCATTCGCCACTTGGCCGCACACGCGCATGCGGCGAATTGGCACCTCGGTGTTCATGGCCCCCTTCCCCCCCCCCCCTCCACCGTCCCTCTTGCCACCGCGGCCGGGCACATCATCCCCCCCCCCCCACAACAACAAACACACCGGACTGCCTCTTCTCCCCTTCCCAAACGCCTCGAGGCTGCCGGCACCGCCTCATGCTGCCACATTAGTGACGTGCAAAAAAGGGTCGTGAATGCGGCCAAGACCATCGACGAATCGCCACCTCCACCACCGCCGCCGCTATTATTGCCGCCACCCACCTCTGCCATTGAGGCACTTTCTCTAGCCACCCCTCCCATCACACACACACTCACGCACGCCTGGTAATGTCGGTGGCAGAAGCGGATTATTCGGTTATGCTTGTTGTGGCCCTCAGCCTCGCTGTCGCTCTCAGCCCTCTCGTCGACGCCCAGTGCACCGGCAGCCGCGCGCTTCGTGACCCTTCGGGCTGTCCCGACTACACCTGCAAGGTCAAGGGCTGCGCCTTTAGTTCAGCCGCTACTGGTGCCACCGACTGCGTGTACGCGAACAAGCCGTGCAACATCTGCAACCCGAACGCAGGCAAGAAGGCCGACTTTATGTTCATTGTCGATACCTCGGGCTCGATGCGAAACGAGATCGAGGGCGTTCGCAGCGGACTCAGTAACTTTGTCAACTACGCCAACACGCTAGGCGTCGACTCTCGCTTTGGGGTCATCATGTACGGCTCAAGCCTCGGCAACCACCAGCACTACATCCAGCCGCTGACCTCGAACGTGCAAGACGTGCTTGATGCACTCCAGTTCCTCGCCGACAACGTCGGCGGTGGCTGGGAGCCGTTCCTGGAGGGCATGCGCATCGCCATGAACACTGCGCCGGACCTCACCAAGTACCTCAACACCATGCCCACCCCCGCCAACAAGGTCCTCTCCACCGCACCGGTCCAGTGGCGGGCAGACGCCACCAAGAACCTCATCGTTCTCACCGATGAGGACTCGGACCGGCCGTATGAAACTCCGAATCGCTACAACAGCATGCCCAGTACCGACGCATCGTGCTCCACCTCTGGTGCGAATGACGGCTTTACCGCGAGCGGCTTCCCTCTCGAGCGCGACGCCGTCGTCGCCGACGCCATTGCCAACGACTTCCGCACCTACTTTATGGTTCAGCCGGGCGCAACCTGTACCGACTACCAGTCTGGCGTGATTGGTGCGCAGGTCCAGTGGGACGACTTCAGCCACTTCTCCGCCGACCTCACCCTCCAGGAGTACCGCAAACTCGCAGCGCCTCTCCAGAACTCGTTCCAGGCCCAGATGCTGCGCGCCGGCAAGATCTCGCGCGTCTACAACGTGCTCGACGTTGACGAGCCCTCGTTTGTGAACAACTTCTTCACCTCACTCCTCGACGACACCACCCTGTGCGACAAGTGCAAGTCGTCGGTCTGCGTCGACGACACCTGTGTCGACGCCGACCTCTGCGTCGACAACGATCCGTGCACGACCGACACGTGCGACGCCACGGGCGCCGACGCCCGCTGCATCTTCACCCCGATCAGCTGCGGCTCCAAGCCCGGCGACCCGTGCACCAACCTGCTTTGTGATCCGGCGACCGGCTCGTGCAGCATCGAGGTGCCGTTTGTGTGCAACGAGGTGCCGTCGGACGTGTGCTTCGAGTACCAGTGCCAGGCCAACTCGGCCGATCCGCCTCAGCCCGAGTGCGTCGTCGTCGACCGTGTCTGCCAGGTCCAGTCCGACCCGACCAACGAGTGCCTCGAGGCGACGTGCCACAAGCGCGTCGGATGCATCGAGGGCCCGACGGCCAACAAGACCAAGACGCAGTGCTTCAAGCCCGAGGGCTGCGATCCTCCGTGCGGCCCCAACGGCGGGTGCTCGCTCGAGGGCTCGTGCGTCTGCACCGACGGGTGGTCCGGCCCGCAGTGCTACATTCCGCCGTGCAACGCAACGTGCGGCGGCAATGGGACGTGTGTTGTCCGCATCGACGCGGACTGCGACGTGTCCGGCCTGCCCAACAAGGACATTCCTGGCGAGTGCTTTGTGTCGCGGTGCCAGTGCAACCCCGGGTACGTCCCGCCGTTCTGCACGCTCCCGGCTCGCGCTCCGGCCCCTCAGATTCTCAACGAGACGACGATTGCCATCGGCGCCACCGTCGCCGTTCTAGCCATTGTCGCTGCCATTGTCCTCGCTTTTATTCTCTGGCGAGTCAAGAAGCTGGCCAACGAGGTCGCCGAGCTCGACGCCTTTGCCAACGCCGAGTCCATCGGGGACAACCCGCTGTACTCGGAGGCCAACGGCTGGAAGGCGAACGCCATCCACGAGTAACTGCTTCTGTTCCTTGCTCTCTAGCGCGGGGACCCGTCCGGCCAAACGTCATCCCCCTTTCCCCCATTTTGCCCCAACAAAAAGCCACCCAACCCACTACCCCAGACTTCTGCGTATGTTCCGTGTTTGATGTTAGGGGGGTTTGTTTGTGCAAGGCGACCCAGCTGACGCGAGCGCGTTTTCTCACTTTTGGAGAATAATCTTCTCCTTGACCAGGTCAGCCAGCTCCTGGAGGCCGGACTGGCGGGTCTTGTTTGCGCGGCCGAGGATGACCCAATCGCCTGACGCAGCGTCCTTGTACAGCTCGGCCACGATGAGGCCGTTGAACTTGTCGCGGTCGCCCTCAGGCAGGGTGAGGTCCATGCGCATGAGCTCGTGCGGGGCGTCGGCGCCGCGCGAGACGTCCGACATGCGGACAAAGCACGAGTCGACCTTGTCGAAGGTCCCGTCGTAGGCCGAGACAACAAAGACGCACCGCGCCCACTTCTTGGGCATGGCCGCAAGGTTGAACACAATCCGCTCGTCCTCCTCGTGCTCCGACGCACCGGCGCGCTCGTCACCCGAGTGCACGATCACGGTCGCCTTGCCGCTCTCGTCGACAGGCACCGACTCACGCGCCTCCTCCGGCACCGACTCGACCTTGATCTTACCCTCGATGTTGTTGTGGTAGACGGCCTGCACCAGCTTGCCCTTCTTGTCAAAGACAAGGACCGACGCGTCAAGGTCGACTGCCGAGTCTGGCGCCTCCCATCCAAGGCCAAACACGACCTTGTTTGCGCCGGCCACAGAGAGCCAGTCACCGGGCGTCATGTGGACCGAGTCCGGCATCGGCGGCTCGCCCTTGACGTGCGACGAGAGGAGCGGGAGCACAGCCTGCTGGTCGACGCCCGACGCCGTGACGCCGGCAGCCTCCAGCACCCACTTGCCCTCGGGCGATCGCGACAGCAGGCAGACAGCCACCGCCGAGTAGTCGTTGCCCTCGCGGAGCTTGAGCTTGAACTTGCTCAGCTCAAGCCCGTCGTCGGGCGAGCCGGGCTCGCCGTTGGCAATCAGCCGCGCGTACATCGACTTGATGAGCCCAAACGAGGCCCGCCCGTACGCAGAGAGTACAAAGACCAGCGAGGCGACATCCTCCGGCACCGCGGCCAGATTGATCGCCACGTCCTCGTCATCGCCGTCACCCTCACCCGTCTGGTTGTCGCCGCCGTGCACGACCGCACCGCCGGCGCCCGTCGGCGTGTCGTACCCGACCGTCTCCAGGTGCTCGCCCTCGGCATTGAACACCATGCAGTGCAGGTCAAGGTCGACGGCCTCGCCCGAGCGCGAGACCCAGCCGACGCCGAGCGTCACGTTGTCGGTCCCTCAAACTCGAGGCAGTCGCCCTTGCGGAGCTTGAGCGACTGCGGCTTGCCTACGTTGGCGTCGAGCGCGCCGACCACCGCGTCGTGCTCGGTCGCGCTCGCAGGCTGCCCGAGTGCCTTGATCTTCCACCCCGCGCCCGACCGGAAGACCGAGCCCATGACCGTCGCCGTGTGGTCGCCGGCCCCGTCGTGCTCAATGAGCGCAAACGGCGGCGCGCCCGACTCGCCCTCGTCCGACAGCGCCATAAAGCATGACTTGATGTTCTTGAACGAGATTTGGTACGCCGTGATGACAAAGACCATGGCCTGCACAGACGGCGAGACCTTGGTCAGGTCCACCACAATCGACTCGTTCTCGCCCTCAGACTTGCCGTTCGGGTCGTCGCCAGAGTGCACCAGCGCCCCGTCAGCAGACTCCTTGTTCTTGTAGTCAACAACGCCCACGAGCTTGCCCTGCTCCGAGAGGAGGAGCGCCACAAGGTCGAGGTCTGCGCCCTTCTTCAGCAGGCCGAGCAGCTTCTTGCCCGCGTTCCAGCCCACGCCCACGCGGAGGAGGTCGGCCGCGTTGATGGCCGCAACCTGGCCCGCCGCAAGCTCGGTCGTCCGCCGCGCCGCAGCCTCCAGCGCAGCCTGCTCGGCCACAAACTTCTTGACAAGCTCCTTCTGCTTGGCCGCCGTCGCCGGCCGGTTGATGGCGTTGGCAATCCAGTTGCCGGCGTCGCCTGACTCGCGCGTAAACCAGAGGAAGACAAACCCGTTGTGCGTTCCGTCCATCGTCGCGGCCTGCGTCCGGAACAGAAGCGGGCCCGAGCCCGACTCGCCCTCGGACACCGCCACGCTCCCGGTCCCAGCACCAGTCATCGAGCTCTTCTTGGCAAACTTGGTCGTCGCCACCACAAGCACCTGCGTGACCTTGGGTGGGAGCGCCGCAAAGTCGACCATGACCGACGCGTTGGCCGCCGCCGACGGGTCCGTTGACTTGAGATCCGTCGACACCACAATCGACCCGTCCTTGGCCGCAGTCTTGTCGTGGTCGATCTTCTTGTCGATCGAGCCCTTGGCGTCAAGGGTGTAGCAGCCCGGCGCGAGCGCCTCGGGCGCCGTCGCCTCGGGCCACGAGAACCCAATCGTCACCTTCTGCGGCGCGAGCATCCGCGCCACGCCGTCGGTCTCGAGAGTAAGGACCTGCGACTCGACGTCGGCAAGGAATGCCTCGACCGCACCGGCGAGCTCGGCCTCGGAGCCCAGTGCCTGTGTCTGCGCGCCGAGCGCCGAGACAGACCACGACCCGGCGTGCGCCGAGTCGCGCGCCATCTTCAGCAGCAGCACGCCCTGGTGGCTCCCCGACGACGACGTCGAGTAGCGGCCCATCTCCTGCACAATACCGCCCTCCACGTCCGAGATGCGGGCGCGGACAGAGTCGACCTGCGAGAAGCCGTGTGCGTCAAAGTGCGCCACGCCAAACACAATCGAGTGCACGCTTGCGTCAACCTCGGGGAACTTGACGTAGTGTCCGGCTGCGTCGTTCTGGTCGTACGGCGACTCGCCGTGGAAGACCACAGCCCCGTCGGCAGACGCCGGCGCCGTCTCGGACACCACCGCCGTCACCGCGCCCGCTGCGTCGACAAGCGCCGCAAACGGGAAGAGGTGGAAGCCAATGTCGGCCATCGACTGCGTCAGCGCCGCAGACGTGTTCCACGTCATGCCCACAAACGTCTCAGACGGCGGCGCGAGCGAGCCAATGTCACCCGGCGCAAGCTCCACGCCGATCTTCTCGCGCTGCAGCGACGACGCCACGTCGGCGTTGCGGAGCGCAGCAACCGGCTTGGCAATGACAGTGAACGACCACCGTGGCGAGTTGGGCACGCGCGCAAGCGTCGCCACCATCAGCGCCTTTTCGGTCGTGTTGAGGTTCATGTCGTGGCGAGCAATCTCGTACGGCTCGTCGCCGCCGTCGTCCACAAGCCGCACAAACGCAGACTTGGCGTCCGACAGCGCGCCGCCGTAGTTGGCCACCACAAACAGAATCGACTCGACATCAATGCCCACACCAGGCAGGTTGACGCTCACAACCTCGTCGTCACCGTCGCGCGAGCCGGTCTTGTCGTCGCCAGAGTGCGTCACCTTGCCGTCGGACGAGACCATGTTTGAAAAGTCGACCTCCTCCACAATGAACCCGTCGCCGCTCAGCAGCAGCGCCTTGAGGTCAAAGTCGGCCTTCTTGCCCTTGGTCTGCCAGCCCATGGCAACCTTGACCGCCCGAGGATCAACCGTTACCGAGTCCTTCACCGCCAGCGCAATCGCGTCCGGCGCCTTGGCCTTGGCCTTCATCTTGTCCTTGAGTGCCTTGGCAAGCGTCTTCGAGTCCTTCACCTCGCGCTCCACAATCGGCTCGCCCGCCGCGCCAAACGCCCATCCGCCCGACGAGTGCCGCGCAAGCGTAGCCATCAGCAGCGCGTTGTACTCGCCCGCAGGAGGCCCGTCGAGCGTAAACCGCGCAAGCTCGCGCGGCGCAGTCGGCGTCGACACGTTGACAAGCCGGATGTAGAACGACTGGACCTTGTTCCAGTTCTTGGCGTCGCCGTATGCCGTGATCGGGAACGTGAGCACAGAGATCTTCTCAGACACTTCGTCGAGCGACACAACAATGTGCTCGTCGTCGCCGGAGCCCGTGCCCTGCCGGTTGTCGCCGCCGTGCTGCACAGACCCGTTCTCAGAGCTGAGGTTCGAGTAGTTGACAAGCTCCACCGCCTTCGGCTTCTTGTCCATCAGCACCGAGTAGAGGTCAAGATCCACGTCACCCTCGGTATCCCACCCAACAGCGACCATGACCTTGCTCGGGCCCTCGAAAATGATCGTCGATCCCTGCTCAAGAGCCGCAGGCTTGGGCTTCTTGTCCGCAACGCTCTTCTCCACAATAGGGAGCAGCGCAGCAATGTCCGCCGTATCGGCAGCCTCGCCGAGCGCCGAGAACTTGAACATCCCGTTCTCGCGGAAGAGCCGCGCCATCAGCACAACGCGCACACCGTCCTCACCCTTGACCTCGTACGCACCGACTGCCTCCTGGCCCTCGCCGCGCCCGACATGCAGCCGCGCCGTCAGCTTGCTCACCGACGCAAACGAGGCCGAGCCAAACGCCGCGATGAGGAACACGATCGAGTCGACGCCCTCGGGCAGCGTGTTGACGTTGACGGACACCGACTCGTCGTCGCCCTCGCCGGCGCCGCTCCGGTTGTCGCCAGAGTGCACAACAGCTCCGTCCGCCGCGGTCAGGTTCGAGTAATCAACCACTCCCATGTTCTTGTCGTTCTCATCGAGAAGCACGGCCTTGAGATCGAGATCAACAGACGTCTCGCTCTCCCATCCTGCTCCGATCGTGAGCTGTACCGCATGCCAAGCGCCAAACATCTCGACCGTGAGTCTTCCACGTTGAACACACATAGGCAGCCCCAGCCCGCACCAGAACAATCACGTTGGCCACCTTGTAGGTGACGAGGCGGGGCGACCGGAAAAAAAAATACATGCCACGCAACCGGTCACCCGCAGTCAGCGATCTCCGCCGCATTCGGCCAGGGGTTGAATGTGGCCCGAGGGCAAGCGCAAGGTGCAGAGCGGCAAACGTGCTGTTAGCGTTATAACAAAATACCCCGTTCCGTGGCGCACACGCTCATGTGTGTGGTGGGCAGTGGCATTCATTGTACCCTTTGCTGGGGCGAGGGGGATGTCGGTGGGGGTGGCAAACGAAAGCCGACAGGGAACAAACGTCATTCGAGCCGCAGGTCAAGCTGAGGTAGCCACTGTGCGGGAGCAAAAGGGGCGGGGGAAGAGGGGGGGGGGGGGGGGGGGGGGGGAGGAGGCTATTCACTGCAGCCGACTGACAATACGTACCCACTCGTATGAACCAAGTTCGCCAGCAAGAGCGAGGGTCTGCCCACGCTTGATGATAGTCTGAGTGTCGGCCATCACTGATAGAGCTGGAGGCAAGTATGGCCCTTTTCGACCTTGATCGGCTACGTTGCCGCGGTCTCGACCACTTCCTTTGCAACCAGCCGTATGTTGTTCGTTCGTTTCGTTCCTTATATATTTGTTCGGTGTGTACTATTTCTCAGCTGCTCTGGCACCGACCAAGACCAGGCCAGGCGGTCCGCCCGGTATCTGCAAGGCCTGCACATTTGTAAGACTCCCGTATTGCACCGCAGATCGGTCACAAGCGGGCCTTGCCATGGCTATGATCGAGAAATTGGCTCAAGCCGGTTGGAGGCAGCGGGAGTCGGCCTACGACTCGGACTCTCCGTCACTCGCTTGATGGCCCCCCAGCAGCCGATCAAGGGCGGCGAGAACGCCGGCCGGAGTAGGCTCGCTCGCTGTAGCCACCGGCAAGCTGGGAAGATCAAGGGCGGCGATGGCAGCCGCGGTCGTCGGGCCGATGGCCACCAATACTACTTCTGTTCCATCAGAGCCGAGGCTGTGGACAACGGCTGCAGCGGCAGTCACACCGCGCGGCGAGAAGAACACAACAGCAAGCCGATCGCAGCCTGTCGTGTCGGCTGTGACGCTCGCCAGTGCATCTGCCGACGACACGGCATCGTACACCTCCACTGCAGCCACTCCCAGGCCCGCTTCTGCCAGGCCAGACTCGAGACTCGCACGCCGCTTCACCCCGCATAGATAGGCCAGCCGCGAGCCGGGGGCGACCGCACGAACAATGGCGGTCGCCAGCTTCGACGCCGTCCCAGCCGGAACCTCCTCGTCGCCTGCCGCGAGCGTCCACCCTGCTTCCGCTGCGGCGCTCCGTGTCGCGTAGCCGAGCGTCCACGCTGGCAGGCTCTGCTTCCACTTTGCGACTGCAGGCAGCGCGTCAGCGGCAGCGACCGCCGCCGCCGACGTCATGACCACCCCCACCACCGCTGTGGCCTGCGCCGCATGCACAGCCGCCGTCGCCGTCGCTTCATCCACTGGCTCGATGGCGAGCATGGGCGCAAAGACCAGATCGGCGCTCGGATACCTGCGGCTCAGCGCCGTTGCATATGGATCCGCCTCTGGTCTCGTCGCCGCCGTCGCTTGCTTGACCTTGGCCGACTTGGCCAGCACAATCCGAACTCGATGAGCCGACGCCGCCATGAGAGACGAGTCGGTGCCGTGCCGACCGCTCACGCTGCGCTTCGCTGAGGGACCAGCCGCATCGCGCCTTTATCATATCCGACGTCAGCCGTGTTCTCCAGCTACATAGGCGACACCGGCTCCTGATTCGCAATGGCATGGGAGCTCGGCGGCGTTCCGCCTGAACTCGCGGACGTCAGCGGCTTGGCCCGCTTGGCCGACGGCTCGTCCGTGTCGGCAGCAGCCTCGCGCGCCCGCTTGGCTTTTTTCAGGTCAAGCTCGATCTCTTCGATGGTGCGGCGGTCACGCTCGCGCGGTACAAGCTTGGACAGCTCCAGCTCCTGGGTCTGCGCGGCGGCGGCGGCGGCTCGGGCCGCCTCCTCGGCCGACGCCCGCGACGCGTTAGCCTCCAGCTCCTTACGGCGGGCCTCGCGGCAGGCAAGCTCGCGGTGGAGCGAGCCGAGCGTGTTGTGGATGTTGAACTCAGACGGATGGAGGTTACGGAGGAGGTCGACGTGGTCCTCATTCGGCGTCAGCTCCTTGCGGTAGATGACCATGTGTCGGACAGCCGGATCGTCGCCATACGAGACCGCGCCGAGGCCCTTGGTGTCACACACCTCGTGTAGGACAGCTCGCAGCGGACGGTCCAACGCAAGAGGCACCAGCGCCTCGTTCATCGCCGGATTCGCCGCAAAGCTCGCCTTGATCTTGTCCACGTTGGCATCGGCGGTAGCTCGAAAAGCCATCAGCCGCTGCCGCTCCCGCTCCTCAGCCGCCTTCTCCCTCGCCAGTCGCTCCCTCTCTGCCGGAGATACCGTCGATACCGGCCGCTTGTACTTTTTCGCACCCGAGAGCAGCGACATCAGCAGCGGCGCCTTCTTCTTCTTGCCCGTCGCCGGCACAGACCCTGTTCCTGACGCGCCGGTCGAGCCCATTGTCGCCGCTCCCGCGCTCCCTCCCGCTTTTCCACTTGCCGCCGCCGTCGCCGCCGCCGCCGTCTGCAGTGCAGCTTCGCCTGCACCAGCTGCTGCTGCCTGCACCTCCTCTGGGGGCGGCGGGGGTGGTGCTGACGCCGGCGGCCCGGCGGCCGAAGCCGCCGACTGCCCTGCCACCCCGCCGCCTGGAAGAGCCGGCGGCTTGATGCGAATGCGAAGCGGTGGATCGCTCATACCGGATGGATGGATATGGAAGAGTACCTAGAGTAGAAGGGAGGGGGGGGAGGGGGGGGGGGGGGGGTTGGCTGGTGGGGATGGGCGGTCGAGATGAGCGACAATGAGTCGAGTGTACGTGCGTGGACTCGGGACGCGACTCTGCCAGCCACGCCGATCAACAGCTGACTAAGCGCTTTCATTTGTACGCAACAGCCGCTCGGAACCTTGGGTGCGTCAACTGTCGAGCTCTGCTGGTGAGCAGCCGTTGAGCTCGAAGACTTGTCTGGCTTCGGCAGCCCGATGGGCAGCAAGATCGGCCACATGCGCGTTGTGCGCCTCGGCGGCAGCGTTGGTCCTCGCCACAAACTCGGCTTTGAGCACGCCAAGCCGGGGATGGTCAAACCACCGCCCGCCGTCCGCGTCGACGTAGGCGCGGCCATCAAAGAAGAACCCGTCGGGAACAGGCTCGTCTTTGGACGCTGCTCGGATGTCGGCAATCTCTGCCTGGCTCAGAGACGCTGCCGTCCGCGTTGTCGGTTTTTCTACCGGCAGCGGAACTCGCGCGTCGAGCAGCGCGGTCACAACCGCGCGCTTGGTCACATACGACCCATCAACCGCAAACACGCTGCCACTCTCTGCATGCTGCCCATCACCAAGCTCGACAAACTCGACGCTTGGCGAGACGCCCGACATGCCGCGCGCCGACGATGCACCCACGGCCTCATGAGCGTCCGCTGGCGATAGGAGCGAGGAACCGTTGACTCTCGCTCGCCACACCGCGCTCCCATCGCTCGTAATCGTAGCCATGCCGCGGACACGAGTGACCTGTAGCGGTGTGCCGTCCGGTCCAGCCACGGAGCCGCCAAGAAGGTTGCGGAGGACACGCAAGAGGCAGGCCTCATCCAGCACCATCGGCAGTCTCGCCACCACCAGTGTCACATGCCGCGCCGCCACGCTCGCGGCAACTTCCAGATCCGGAGAGCACAATGCCCGCAGCTCGGCCTGGCTCGCCGCCTGCCACGCGTCGAGCCTCAGCAGCTCGTCGACGGCCGCAGGGTGGACAACTCGCCCAGAATGCGAACCCATGACCATGCTCGCCTCGGGGTTGCGGGCAGCCACCGAGGCCCGGGTCGTCTCGATGCTGTGGTCGCTGTCCTTCGCCTCGGGCATCCGCACCACTACCGCCTGTACAAAACCGCGGCGGAGCAGGCTCGCGGCATTCGGCAGCAGCGGTGCACATGCGCCCACCCGGCCGCTCGGCATCTGATGAAGAACCGGATGGACCAAGGCGACCACGGACGCAATGAACACCTCGTCACGCATGCCTGGACCCTCAAGCATGGTCGTAACTGCCGCCACATCCACGTACGCAGGCGCCACAAGTGCCACTCGCCCCGTCCGCGGCTCAACTGCGCTGCGTGCCTCGGTCGCTGCGTCGCGGACTCGCGCCGCCCACGCGCTGTCATCAAACAGCGCCTCATCGTCAAGCGCGGACGAGACCACACTCCACTGGTGCCGCTCGGACGAGGTCTCGATCAGCGAGGCTACCAGCGTGTCAGCCCCGGCGCATGCTGCACCGCAGACAACCGTTACGGGGACAGCGTGCTCTCCATGTTCGATTGCCACCGGCGTCTTGCTCTTGGCCCCGAGGCTCGCACACACCGCAAAGTCCTCAAACGACGGCTCGAGACGGACTGGAAGCGACTCTGCCGGTTCGACGGTCGGCATTTCGAGACGCACCACGACCTCGCCCTCGTCCCACAACGGGCGCCACAATGCATACGCTGACCGTGCCACCATTCGCCAGCCAGACGCCGCGCGATCAAAAGTCATCGACAGCCGTACCGGCTCGCCGCAGGCCACCAGCCTGCCGAGCGAGAGCCCGCCGAGCCGCGCGGCGGCAGAAGCAAGGCTCGCACTCGGCATCACAACGTCTAGATGGGTCACCGTCGCCCCACTATCGGCATCAACCGAGTTGTACGTCGCCACAGAAAGCGGCAGCAATGCTGGCATAGCAAGCGGAACCACCATGAGCCCGGTCCTTCGTGAGCCAAAGACGAGTCCGCCCTCAAACACGCTCACGCTCCCGTCCAGCGTCAGTCGCTCCGCGCTGAGAACGCCAGGGACTGCGTGCGGCGACACGGCGGCTCCAAGGCCGCAGGCAGCCGCGGCAGACGCCACTGTCAGCTTGCGCCGCCTCTTGTCCCACACCTGCACGTCTGCAGCTTCTGAGACTGCCGCAAACCGCTCGCCAGACACGGCATACGTCTCGCCGTGCGAGAGGACCACGTCGTTGGCAACAACTTCGATGGTGATGACAGCTAGGAGCCCCGGACAAGCCGGCAGAGGCTCGGCTGGAATGCGTTGATTGAACGCTCCGTGTGAGGTGAGCCGCACAGAGCCACGGACCGTCGCCGCGTCCGGAAGCACACTACCAAGCTCGCTCCGTGCGACACGCCCCAGTTCGCTGTCTCCCATGACGCTGCCCCCGTCACGCCCGCTGAGCGTTGCCACAAACCGGGCTGCCACCCGCGGCAGCGCTGCCACCATCGTGGTGTAGATACGGAACAGGGCCGCGACCCGGGCATCGGCGGCGTCGTCAGATGGCCCGACGTCGCCGACGCCATCGTCGCTCTCGTCAACCGAGTCGCTCTCGTCGTCCGAGTCCGAGTTGAAGCCGGGGTGGAAAGAGAAGAGCGAGAACGAGCGCGGCTTGGCCGGCGCATCGCTCGTCGCCGCAGCGGCCGACGGCTGCGGCATGTCCGGTGGTACGTCGCTCGTCGGCGCGTTGACCACAAACAGCGTGCGCGCCAGAGAGACTCCAAACGATGGCTCGGTGCACGACACAGTGGCCACGCAGTGTGAGCCGAGTTGGACAACATTGACGGCCGGTGGCGTCGCCCCGGGTACCTCGCGGCCGACCATGCCGTAGCGGTAAAGACTCGAGCGGCTCGACGAGCGCGTCGGACGTCAGCCGGGCCGATGCCGCATCCATGGTGCTCAGCATAAGCTCCCAGTTGGGTGCCAGCTGCGAGTGTGCCACGTGGTGTGCCGAAGCCAGCGTCTGCACGTCGCACGCCGGGTAGACCTGGGCGGTGAGGAGTTTGTGAATGCCGACCACGTCAAAGACCATCGAGAAGAATCCGGCAACACCGACCGGGCGAAAGGTGTGCGTCGACGAGCCATCGAGCGGGACATAGCCATATGCCTGGACCAGTGGCCAGCGCTCGGCATCCATCGGCTCAAACTGGCGACCGTCCTCGGCGTCGAGATCGAGGGCCGGCAGGCCGACCCGCGGCTTGGCCCGCGACGGTGCCGGCGGCCACAGCAGGAGCTCGTCAATGGCGTGGACAAACGTCGCGGCCTTGAACTCGTCCAGCTCGTCTGATGCCGGGGGCTCGCTGCCGGAAGCTGGGAGGACAAACAGGCGCACATTGTCCGAGGCGGCGGTGAGGGCCACGAGATGGGCGAGCGCGTGTGGTGGCGCTACGATAGCCATCGTATCCGGCGTGATGATCATGACCAGCTCCTCCAGCGCTCGCGCCAGATTTCGATCTTTCGGCTCGTGCGCAATGCCGCCGCCAGAGTAGCCCAGCAGGAGATAGTTGGCAAACCGTCGCATGCCCTCGTCGTGCCGGGCGTCAATGCCCGTCACCGCCACCACCGCGTCCAGGCCCTCTCTTCCCGCCACTGCCCGCACATGCCCCAGCCGCGCTCGGAACGCACCGCTCCCGTACACACCCGCTTCGCCCGTCACCGCCATGTCCGTGTCAGAGTGTGGTGTGAAAGGCGGGGAGCGCCAAGCTGACTGACAGCCGTGCTCGGAAGGGGGGGGGGGGGGGGGGGACAGAGTGATAGCTGTGTATTGGCACGGGGAGGGGGGGGGGGCAGTGCTCGGGCCGATGTCACGGCCATGCCGGCGGTGGCAGACCGCGCGAGGCAATGCCGGTAAGGATGGTGGTGGCGAGATGGGCTGCGGAGAAGAGGTCAAGATCCATCGAGAGCGATGCGTCGACAGGCGCTACGATGGGAGAGAGAAGCTGCTGCGGCTGCCGCCGAGGCCGGGGCCTCGGTTCAACCGATCCCCGCGCCCTGATCCGTCCTGAACGCCGCGACCGCCGACTTGAAGAGCCGCCTTGTGCTCTCCGTCTTGGCCGCAATCCCGAACCCGATCTCGACCCCGATCCCGGCCTGCGGCCTTGCGCCTGGCCTGCACCGGATCTGCGGTGGCGGCGAGAGCGACGAGTGCGGGAAGCGTGGGAAGATGGAGAGCGCGACGATCGCCCCGAGGATCGACGTCGGCGCCTGCGCCGGCCTCGATGCCTATGCCTACTCTCCCGTGGCGAGCAACCGCGTGGAAGGGTACAAACTGTTGGCGCATCGGCAAATGAGACCGAGAGCGACGAGATGCGATCGACGGCAACAAGGGCCGGAGCGGCACGACCAGCTCCGTCGAGCCACATGATGGGATGGGCAAAGACGCATGGCTCACTCGGCCTGCCTCCCCCGTCCTCCTCTTCCGACGCCGACTCGTAGGTGTAGACATATACGTAGTCCGACAACAACTCGGTACTCGACTCGGCCATCCAGGCTCAGAGCCCTCTCCGCGCTCCTTCGAACCCGTCTGCCTCTCGTGGTGCTCCACAAGCGAGAAGTGCAGTCGTCTGCCGCCGCCTGCCCATCCCTCTGTACGGCAGTGACCTTGGTGAGAGCAACCAGAGGGTAGCAGCAGTGAAACACCATATCTCCCATCCTCTTCTACCCATGCGATTGCTTCCACACAAACCGATCGCCGTCCCCATGCCCATGCCAATACCCACCCGGGCCTCCAATCGCCTTCGCCTGCCATCCCTCGACCAGAGCCAGAGTCAGAGGTAGAGACAGACGAGGACACACGTGACGCAATTATGAGTGCGCCACGACCAAGCAAGCGAGCCAAGGGCCTTGGACAGCAGGTGGAGGAGGTGGCGTCTATTGTGGAGCAGATTGCGCGTGGAGATAGTGGCAGTGGGACAAGTAGCGCCCGCAGTCTGGTGAGCTATGTCCAGGAGACGCCCGTCAAGGCCATTGCGCCACCGTCACAGACTCGCCCTGTCCCGAGGCCTCCAACAACTGCGTCTCGCGTCAGCTCGGATGCTACCACAGCGGCGAGCAGGCTGGCAAAGCCGGTTGTCACCGAGCGTGTCGCTTCGGCTGTGACGGCGTCGAGGAGAAGGGCCAACAAGGAGAAGCGGAGGCAGGTGGCCGCAAAGGCCAAGAAGCGCGGCGCCAAGGTCCGCGCCTCGCGCAAGGCTGTCCGCAAGGTCAGAGTCCCGCGCAAGGTTGTCGACTATGAAGCACTTCTACCTCTACATCACATGTGGAAGAAGTACGCTGCGACCTGTCTGGGCAAGGCCGAGAACTTTGTCGCCAGCAATCGCACCGGCGCCATCACCCTCGGCCCGCACATCGGCAAGCTCGAGCTGGCCGGTGCCCTGCTCTCGGTTGTCTCGTCAAAGTCGCCGTCGCTGGTAGGCGTTCAGGGCCTGGTCATGGCCGAGTCGGCTCAGATGTTTACTCTCGTCACACCGCAGTCCAAGCTCAAGCACGTGCCCAAGGCCTCGTGTGTCTTTGGCCTCATCTGGGACTCGCTCTTCATCACCCTGCACGGGCCGAACATCTGCTTCCGCGCCTCGGAGCGCGCCGCCCGCAAGCTCAAGGCCCGCCCTACCAACGTCTTGTGATCGCTATCATCGCCACCACCTCCCCATCATCGCCCACGCCCATTCGAACGCTGCCAGGCACTGAGCCTCGGCCACCGCCCCCACTTACCCCCCACCGCCCCCACTTACCCCCCACCTCCTCCCCCCCCCACATCGATCCGCTCCACATTGGACTAAAAACAACCTCTTGACCAACTTGTTCAACGCGAGCAATCAGCCAGTACCACCGCGCAACCACACCACACGCCCACCAACGCCCTCCACCCCCCCCCGGGCCTCCCTCTCTACCTACCAACCAACTCGTGCTTGACCCACACACCACTCTGCCATCTTTACGTCCCATGGCAGAGGAAAAGTCACGCCGGCCAGCGGGTACGTCACCATGTGGTGTGGGTGCAGAGGACAGGGTGTAGGAGGGAGGGACGAGGGGGGAGGGGGGGCGGGGGTAGGGGGTGGTGAGTGGTGGGAGCGGTCATCGCCGCCGGAAC